AGGAGAGAGGGGGAGAAAAAGAGAGGCATTTTCCCTCTCACCTGCTGCTAGAGAATCATTAGCCCTGTGGGCCCTGAGACAAAGAGGGCCTTAATGCATCCACCACAATGGACACATTATCAGCTACCGCTTTGTTTTCAACATACACTCCACAGATCCTTACGCACATAAACTCCTGCACAACCACGCACATGTGCACACACACCAGCAGAAGCACTAATTACAAGCCTAACTATGGTGACACTCACACATGGACACACATACACAGTGAGGAAAAGGAAAATGTAACACAAATCCAACACAAGGAGATTCAATCTTAAGTGTGCACATACATGCACTACACATCCATACATGCTGCCATAAACCTAGTCACCCCATTTGCTGTTATTGACATGAACAAAGAAAAATGATCAGACAAAGAAGGACTGACAGTGTGAAGTCACAGGGTGTGTGTGTGTGTGTGTGAGAGAGAGAGACAGAGGGAGAGTATTCTATTGACTAGGAGCCATCTGCACTTGCTAAGGAAAGAGTCACTTTGAGTGAGGATATTAACCCAGCCAATGCAAATACATATACTTGAATGCATAAAAACCTGCAAAACACACAGACACGTCGATACATGGTGCATACACTTGAATGCAGTCATATACGTAGCTGCACACACAGACATACATACATACACTGGGCAGTTGCTGACGCAGGTGAAAAGTTTGTTTGTCTCTGGATTATTTTTTTCCATAATGTCAAGACCATAATGTTAAGAAAAAAGTCTTAATCTTACTGGTATGAGACAGCTTGCCTTCACAAACAAGCACACAGAGACATGCAAACTGTGACACAAACACTAATGCTTTCCACAGAGATAGAGATGTCCGCTGTGTTGAGTTGAACAGCTTAGTGCTTCTTTCTCCACTAAGTGAGACACACTCAACAACAAATCAAAGTACTTTTACCCATCATCCAAACACAAAAAAGCAGTACTTTGCCTATACTTTTTTCTTTCGTCTTCATCCCTCTAATTCTTTCTGTCTGCGATGGAGTGAATGCAGAGAGATGAGGAGGAGAAACCACCTGGAGGCTTTTGGGATTTTAAACAACACATGATCAGGCACAAGCAAATAAGAGAGTGTCTGGAAATACAAGCTCTGCTCAGACACACACACACACACAAAGCACTTCAGCATGTCCTGCTTAGTGTACCTCAGTCTGTGTGCACATGTGTATATGTCGATATCATTCCAGAGGCAGGAACCAGGTACTTTCCTCTGGCTTTAAGACCACAGCAATGCCGCACTGTAGATTTCAATGAGTGCACAAGTACAAACACACATAGCCTGAGGTCAGTGTTGCACCTCATGCCAATGCACATCTCTCTTTCTCTTAGACTGTGATTGGTCAGCCCTTGTGTTTTTGATGCTGGCACTCAGCCAGTTAGTCAGCAACTTGAGTTTCAGCAATGTGGCTGTGATGTGCCCTAGTGCTTTCTGTCAGAAGCCACCACAGCCTTTCGGGAATAACTTAGCAGTGGGAAGTGAGGGAGCAGAACTGAGAGACAGCAAGAGAGAGACAGAGAATATGTTGCAAAAACAGGGGAGGGAAATAAACACTCCTAAAAAGAGTAGAAGAAAGAGTGCCCCTGTGTATATTTCCCCTGGGACAGCTGTCTCACGGTCACCTCAACAGGTGCCATTAGCCCCTGGTGCTGCCTCTCTCTCCTTCTTTCACTCTGTCTCTCACTCTCATCTCTCCCTCCAGCCCCCTCTCCCTCAACAATGACAGAGGCTTTTAAGCCAAAGAGCTTTGACAAGTGAGAGGGAACAACAAATGGCAGTGTCGCCTGTTCTCTTTCGATTGCACTCTCTCTCTGTCTCCATCTCCTAGTTATTATTTTTATTTATTAACAGGGCTGCAGCCATTGTCCCCAGTGACAGGCTGGGGCCACTTTAACTATTAATAAAAGCCAAGAGGCTCTTTCATTGTGCAGAGAATGGCAAAATGGGAGGAAATGGACAGGAGGAGTGGCGAGCGAGAAGAGAGAAAGAGGACAAAAGAGAAGAGAAAAGAAGAGGAGTTGGCATCCTGTAGCTCTTAGTATGATGTTGATGTATTTGGTGAACATTATGAGAAATGAACCCCCCATGCCACCCATGATAAACTAAAAACAAACTGAAACTG